AAGTACTGTAAAACATATAAATTAGTTACCCGGGCAATTGATCTACATCAGCCAATCAGACGAATTTCCTCCTATGAAAACTATTCATCAGGATAATCTTATCCGGATTCAAGCTCATGAACATATCTCAATTACCACCTGACCAGACTTGGCAAAAATAGCACATATGTATTAGGATAAATTAAGGTAAAAAAAAGGAACGCAAACCCGATTTACTTATTTGTGCCGACCAAAAAAGGAAAAAACAAAAATATCCTTTTTTATTAGCAAAATAACGCATAAGAGTCACGATGTTAGGGTTAGCAGTAGATACTAAAATTTTGCAAGGAATTTTTTTTTATTAGAACGTTAAAGGTGATTTCTTAGGCAGAATTTTGAGTTACTGGCTATTTTTTGAAAAAGCCTTCGTTTTTATGTGCTGATCTTACGATCTACATAAGAAAAGTTTCTTATTTGGTTTGTATCACAGGCGCAAATAAATGTACGCCGAAAATCCGGCATTAACGTTAATTAGTTGCTAGGTGCTTTCAATAAAATTTGGGCACATTTAATTTGTAAATCTTATTTCATTAAAGTTTTTTTTCAAATTTGTATAGAGTAGCAAGCCAAACTACCTTAGTTTGTAATCAAACATATATGTATAATTACATCTGTTAATTGCTTGTCATCAAATTACAGTAATTAAGATCGCTAACAAAATTATTTAATATCAATATTGTATCGGTATATTTAAGTTATTAATCATTATTTTATGCAGACATTGAATTTTATGTACGTGCATACTGACACGTACATACTTAATGGAAACCGTATCTAAAAACAGAAATTATATATATATTTTTGTTAAGCGGTGCGTTTGTGAAAGTTACGTGGTTTTTTAAGAAAAAAACCTGAAATATTGCCGAAATCTATTTTGCATATTATGCATGTACGAGAAGAAGATAAAACTAGACTCAAAAGAGGAAATTAAACATTATCCTAAAGTTTATTAGGTCGCGAGACACAGCATATGAAACATAAATCTACCATAATTCCGTAAGAACAGGGGTAATCTGAAACAAAAAACTTTAATTTTTTTTTTTTTTGAATTCTCATGAGAAACTAAGCTTACAAATACTTTCAATTTTAAGAATGAACTATAAATTTATTTATGAAACATTTGACAGTTATATGTTGTTTTAAAGACCAACCAACAACTTTTGGGAAAAGAAATATTTGATGGTCTATGTAGTCAATTGAGGTCTATGTGGTCAATTGAGATGAAAATGTCCCTTTTTTTTAAATAACAATTATTGGAATACAAAAGATAAAACCAAGCATTTTATAATAAAAAATCAAGGTGATTTGACATTTTATAATAATAAAAAATCGAGGTGATTTGACATTTTAAAATAAAAAATTGAGGTGATTTGATAAATTTTAAATCAGATTAATATTAGCTCCGTCGTAATTGGAACCGTCTTCATAAAATTGCATCTGGGAACCGACACCTCCGTCCTGGCGTTTTTGATAACTAGAACAGCACTCTTTATAATAATCATCTTCAGTACGTTTAGAATGTTTGGGGAATGCAAGCAAGATACCATCCTTTTTACAGTTAAGATTAATATCAGGAAGTTCGGAAACAAACGGCTCGGTACTACCGTCTTTGTTAATCTTTAAATTTAGTTGATCGGTGATATTGTGAAGAATCTTTCCACAACGGTCAGTGATAAAGGCACAATATTTCTTATCTGGGTTAAAACCACTTGAAAAAAGACCTATGGCCTTAGTACAACCACATTCATCCTGGGTGTAAGCGGTGATACCGTGAAGTTTATTATTAAATACTGCAGTGGCAACTGCACAAGGACATGTTTCATCTTTATAGTAATCATCATTTCTCTTCTCCAAAGGTGAACGTTTTTTGTAGCAAGTTGTTTTCTCTGTCCGTACAACCAATGAACTTTCAGGCACGGCCAAGGCAACAGCCATGGAAATAAGAAGGCATAAAAGTGCTAAAGACGTGAAAATTTTTAACATATTAATAAGTAGATTAATATGAGAAAGACTATTTACAATAAAAATAACTAATTATCGAAAAAAGTAGTTCGATAATGAAAAGAAAAGAACTTTGTTTGAAGCGAATAACGACACCTTTTATATCCCTTTCCAGACAATGTATTTTTCCTTATTTTTAGAATGCTTGTTATTACAAGTAAAACAAAAGAGATCATACAATAAGTTAGTTATATTTGTATATTTTAATAACTTATGCATCCACGGAGCTTGCATTTCTAACAGTAACTCTGTAAGGCTGATTTTCAAAATAGTACAAAAACTATAAACGGCAAATACGATAGATAAATAAATTTTTTTTTTTTTTGTATAAAATAAAATATTGAGTTAACTTACTCCAAGTCAAGTTTCAAATGTATTATGCAATGTATCTTTTGCATATTTTATGCATCTTTTGCATATTTTATGTACCCCTTGTATACTTTTATGCACTCCTCCTTGCATTATGTAAGAAGTGCATAAAAACATGCAAAGGGCAAAAACTTTTGCTCAAGAGTAAAGTTAACTAAAAAAACCAACTCCAATAAGCTTTTTAACAACCCTACGCATTTGAAGAAACTTGGATGATTATCGTTATCATTGTTAATGTCGTGACTAAAGTTGGGATCCGACTAAAGTTGGAACTTCAGTTGACTAAAGTTGCACCTGACTGAAATTAGCCCCTGAAATTAGATCATCCTGCACGCATTAGTTAGCTGTTTTAGGCAGGTGCCAACTTCTGTCAACTGAAGTTCCAACTTTAGTCGGATCCCAACTTCAGTCACGACATTAACAAAAGCATATTGGGACATTCCTTATTTGGAGTCTCGTTTGTCAACATTTGATCATTGATTTACGATTTTAGATAGATATGTTAAACCAATCCCATTTTTAAGCCGTTCCACTATAAAAGTTTTTATTTTCAACAACATGCGGGTAAACATCAAATTATAAACCCGGAAACACGGAAAAATCATACAATCTATTTTTCCAACCAATTTTTCAAATGATATGATCAAATGATATAAATTCATGACAATAAATTGAATAATTAAACTAATTTTAATTAAACTAAGTTTAATTCAACAAAGTTTAATTAAACTAAGTTTAAATAAACTAAGTTTATACGTAACGATAATACAGTTTTGTTTTAAAGGTTTAATAGTAACATGCTTGAATATGCTTGGGACAAACCCAAATAACCTGTATTAACATAAGTCCAAATATTTTTGTACCGGGTATTTAAGATGACATACGACATGATCGCGATCTAAATATTTAATTCGTATGACAAATAATTATGTACGTACGTATCGGTATCGATATCGTTATTTTTATTATAATTTAGTAAATTTACAATTTTTTATAATAATCAATGATTAGCCACCGTTAATTAATATTCACTGATTGTTGGTAAATCTATTTAAAGCTTTCGATTTATGCTGAAAATTATAACCGTTAGCATTTTAATTTTAGATTTACTTTTTGATATTAAACCTTTGACTCGGTGCTGCCTCAGAGTTTCAATGTATTTCA